TGCTGGAGCATGATTTCTGTTCTCATCCTGTAGCAAAGTTCTTAATCCGAGGTACTATTTCTGGGTTAGTGGAGTCTGTAACCTGAAGCGTATGTAACCCGAGGTACCACTGTATTTAAAAATAAATAAAGAAGTAAATGTGGAATAGAGAAGAATGGAAGTTGTTGAAGGAAAGAAGTGGACGTAAAAGGAGCAGGGAGGAGGGGGGAAAGAGGGACATTTTTTGAAGGAGGAAACGGGTACTAGTTACAGATGAAAAGAGAAGGGGATTAGAAAAGAAAGGTGAATACTTTGAGCGGTATTTCAGGGAAAGGGGAAAGTAGAAAAGAAAATTCTTCATTCAAAACCTCTGCACTGACAAATTCTGCCTAAAATGACATGGGCTCTGAACATCTGTTCAGAGCAGGTGAGCAGACTGTTGTTATATTCATGACCTGCTTGCAGGCTTTCCATAGGGATCTCTGTGACTACCATGAGGACAGGCTGGTGGACCAGGTGGGCCACTGGGCTGTTTCAGCAAGCTCTTACATTCTTAGGAATCGTATCAGCAGAAAACTATTGCTGATACACACCATTGAGTAACTGGCTCCACTCCGCAGCAGCATTTTGTGACTGGTAGGCCTTAGTTCAGCTTTCTCAAGTGGGCCCTGGTTGCAGAAAGTCTGGCATGACACCCCTGGCCTAGATGGTACCTGTGCAGCTGTCAGCATATAACGAAGGGATAGACGGATAGATGCAACTAAGAATAAAACAAAAATGCATATCCAGCTTGTGAGACAGTGCTTCCATCCTCGGCATCTCCAGGTACGGCTGGGAAAGGCCACTATTTGAAACCCCCAAAAGGCTTTAAGTTTCACTGAAGACAAGGGAGCTAAATAGACCAGTGGTAGCATCCTACGTTCTAATGGTTCTTAGAGACCTAAATGCAATACACAGCCAGTGTTTAAACCTTAATAGATCTAACTACTTGGAACTTTAAAAAAAAATTGTGATCAATATGTATCTTTCCAATAGCTTTGAAAATCTGGTGCAACCTATATGACAAAATTCACACTTCTCTGAAATGGAAATGTATTGCCACCAAAAGGCCTCCCATACTCTCCATGGTGCAAATTAACAGAAGTTGTAGCAGCAGATTGAGCCTACAGTGCAAAAGACACATTTCTTTCCCATCATTTATATCCTACCCATCTTCCAGTACATTCAATCATAGCTTTAGATTTTAAATTACTAATTGCAAGATTAAAGCAAAAGCAAATTAACAATGCAGATACTAAAATAACTCACCTTGTACAAATGCCCAACATATTTGTTTTAACAAAAGAAATAATACTTAATTACAATTTGTTTTACTCTAATTAAAGATCATGGGTAAAAGCCTCAGCACCTAGGGCTTGCCGATCAAAAGGTCGGCGGTTCGAATCCCTGTGGCGGGGTGCGCTCCCGTTGTTTGGTCCCAGCTCCTGCCCACCTAGCAGTTTGAAAGCACCCCGGGTGCAAGTAGATAAATAGGGACCGCTTACTAGCGGGAAGGTAAACAGCATTTCCGTGTGCGGCTCTGGCTCGCCAGAGCAGCGATGTCACGCTGGCCACGTGACCCGGAAGTGTCTCCGGACAGCGCTGGTCCCCGGCCTCTTGAGTGAGATGGGCGCACAACCCTAGAGTCTGTCAAGACTGGCCCGTACGGGCAGGGGTACCTTTACCTTTACCTTTAATTAAAGATCACTCAGATATGACACTTTATTACATTTTCCAGAATCCCCCCCTTTTTTAGCAACTGAATGCTTGTGTCCCTCCATGTCAGTTTTATCTAACGCAAACAGCACTCCCGTTTTTCCAGACATTTTTGAATTGCTGCTTCTCCCTTGACCCACAAGCAGTTAGAATAGGAATTACAAAGTCAAGCTGTCTACAGAGCTGGCACATCGGGAATGCTTTACAGTAGGGATCAGCAAAAGGATGTCTCTAGAGCCAAACAGACACACAGACTCCTTTCTGCTCAAATCTATCTTGCCTCTGGCGTAGCAACTCGTGTGTGTGTGTACTTGTCAACCCACAAGCTAGAATTTGGTGGGTAGAGAACTGTGTTCTGACAATGGGACTTGCCAGCATTCTGCTTTAGGAAGCGGGTTTGCATAGTGGTCCACAATCTTCTATAAACATAGCTGCTGGCATAGGAGCCAACTTCTAAAGGCAGAGTTTACTTTGCCCCCCCCCTAAAATATTTGAGGGGGCCGCCTCTGCCCCCCCCCAGTTGATGGCCATTGCCATTCAAATTGTGTGGGTGTGTGTCACGTCTTGTGACTGATTATGTGGGGGCAGGGCTTACCTGCCCTCCCCCATATTTAATTCAAGTTGTCACTTGAATAAGTGCTTGCCACTTTCTTCCAAATCTATTCATGAATAAAATTAATAGCTTCTTTCTTTCTTTCTTTCTTTCTTTCTTTCTTTCTTTCTTTCTTTCTTTCTTCTTCAAAAATGTCCATAAACCTAAGCCTCCTTGAGTCAGCAATGCAAAAATAAGCTATTAGAGTGAAATAACTTTAAGTATTTTTAATGAAAATGACCTGTCCCTCTGCCCTCTTGCCGCACTCTTACTTTTCATCTGCATTTTCTCCCACAAACACTATGTAGGTCCAGGAGACCTCTGATGAAAATATATAACTGCATCAGCTTTATTATTATTATGCAATGCTATTAGGAAATGTACTATTGACTATGAATATGAGCAAAGGTTCCTGGGCTCCATTAATTTTGCAATCTTTACAAAGAAACAGATTCAGTCCCTAATAATGCTTAACACAAATCCTCTTACATGAAGCATATTTTGCTTTCATATTTAATTAATAACGGCAGTGACTTGGGGCACAGTGCCTTGGTTTGGTGAATAAAAAGTGCACAGAATATTATCTGAGAGACTTTTCTTTGTATAAAAAAAGCACAGTAATAAGCTTGGGGAAAGAAAATGGAATGATCCACAATGGAAAAGGCTAGTGTTAGATTCCATTGTAAAATTGAATATTTGATTTTTAAAAGCCTGCATTTTAAGGGGGGAAAAGATTCCCCTTTTCCATTCTGTTGGATAAAATGTTATTTGTATATATTAATGGTCAGGACATATTAAAATTATTCATGAACTATTCATATTTCCCAGATAACCGTTTCTTTATTTATAGGATCAGATCTCATTCTTTTTACCCGCTGCTTAGGCAAAGTTCTCAAGGGACTCTAAAAGTGTATTAATTGCTTAAGGCTTCCAGGATTAATATTGTGTAGCCTTGTATCAAGAACTGAACTTATTTTCAATTTGATATGACACATTATGGCACAGTCTGCTATCTTTAAGTCTTGATCATATCTTTAAGTTACTGTCTCTCGGTGGTTAGGATCCCAGTGTTTTGCTCAATCTACTTCATCCTGCACTGGATTAAATATGGAGAAATGGGACGGGGTGGAGGGGCTCCTGTTTTGAGGGATAGTCCTGTCAAGTTCTGCCCTGGGAGGCACATTTTAAAATTAAGGTTTGCAAGCCTATGCACATTAACTGACAGCAAATCCCATTGAACTCAATGCGACTTACTTCTCAGGAGACATGAGTAGGATGGCACTGTAAAAGTATCCCATAACTGCTAGGCAGTAAGTCAGCCAACACAGATAAGAGAGAAACAGAGAGATAAGGGCCTCTTTACTAGGGAAAGACATATCTGCCCATTTTGGTTTCACTAGGTTTTTCCAGTTCAGCTCCCTACATTTCCGCATCACATTCTTTAAAAAAGTTCATGAAATTCCATGTGCATTTTAGTGTGATTTCCCCCTAATGTATGCAATTTTGCCCAACATATACATTTTTGCAAAGCAAGTTCTCCTGATAGAAAGCATTTCTGTATGTTGCTTTCACTAATATATGTATTGCTATGCATGCTTTACCCCACCACGCATTCTGGTACACATTACTTGGCTAGAGAACTGCATTGCCAAATTCTGAAATGTGTGGATCTCAAAAAATGGCTGTGTTTCAGTTTTCATTTAAAGGGGAACTCACCTTATTCGCACTTTCAGAAACAATATACTAACTGAAACACAGCCATTCTTTGAGATTCACACATTTCTGAATTTGGCAATGCAGTTTGCATGTTGTTTCTGAAAGTGCAAATAAGGCAAGTTCCCCTTTAAATGCAAGCTGAATTCAGTTTGTACCTCATCACTTGTCTTCACACTCTACTTTTTTTAGGTGCACACATCATATTTTATGGAACAGGTTATTTTTAATCACTAACCTAAACATGTAAAGTTATGAGCAGTGCAAAGAGTATGTGATCATATAGGAGCCTACTCATCAGAGTATTTCCCTGTGGAAGCATAGAACTGTAGAGTTGGAAGCGACCCTGCGCGTCATCTAGTTCAACCCCTTGCAATGCAGGAATCTCAACTAAAGCAGAGTGTGTGCTCTGTGGCAAACTCAGCTTTGATGTTCAGCAATGTGTGGAAAGGCACATTGTCAACTTATAGGTGCAAAATGGAATTTATGAAGCAGGAAAGACAAGGTAATGTGGTCTCTAAAAAAAAGTTCTTCAGCAGGTGAAAGGCAAATTCAAAGAAAAATAAATCTTATTCACAAATGTGGGTGTAGCTCCTACAAAAAGCATGAGCACCAAACAAGAAGCTAACAAGTTATATATATATCTATATCTGCAACGTCCAGTTTTGAGATGCTTTATTTCTCCTTACTTTAATCTCTGCACTCTCTGCCTAAGCGAGCATTGCTGAGGTTATGTGACCAAGGCTATTTTTAGAGGTGTATGATGATCAAGCTTTACTAACTAGTACAAATTCCAGCTGCCATAGAAGAGCAGCTTCTTGCCTTGAAACTCGCCCTACAGCAAAAACTGCAATTCCCTAGAAGCCAGAGATCATGCTCACAGGCTGAGTCTATTAAAAAATGTCAAGGCTGAAATCTTTTTTATTTCCAGGCAATTAGAACATCAAGATTGTTACAGTACCTTCTGCTGTAATCTCTGTCATAATGGTGACGGCAAGGAACACACTGGTGAAAAAGGTTAAGTTATACTGGCAGCTGAGAGGATGTGACCAGGGTCAGCGCTGACTTTTGCAGGAGACGGCAAATTGAAGGGTGGGAAGTCCTCCACAGTTCTGATTTTTCTTTGGGGGTCTTTTCTTCTTCTTTTTGAGCTATCTTCTTAGTGAAGCCCTCCCTCCCCACCTCCCAAGACACTAACCCCTTTCCCAAGGCAATGCTTGCAGCCCAGACTAAAGTATCAGCTCCTTACAAAAATAGCCGTGGCTCTCATCAAATCTCTAGCGCGGCTTTTTTGGCATCCTAGGCACCACGTTCAGGGACCAACTCTTTCCTTGTTTTCTGTAAGTGTCCAGACCCAAATAAGACAGCAAAGCAGGTAAAAGCAGCAGCAGCAGCACAAAGGAACTGAAAAGAACTGTTTTAAGCCCCTGCAGCTTCTTAAATATTATTACAGTTCTTTTGAGGTCTGGGTCACAAAATATGAAATATAGACTTGACTGTAATCTTATCCAACCAAGCTCAAATGTATTCTTAGCACACTCTTAGCACATTCTTTCCGGGCCTTATTTGGGTTGGGGAGGGTGCTATGAAGGCAGCCACAATGACTAAAGAAGAAAACAAACCTAGGTAAATTTCACCCTGTTAAATTGCCCGTGGACACTTAAAATCACCAAAGTACACCATTTTACCCTCTGCTGCTTCTTTTTTAGTTGTGGCTGTTGCATTAGTTCATAAGAAGAAGCCTGCTGGATCTGACCAAGAGTGCATCTATTCCAGCAACTTAATCCTTAAATCTGTGAGCCTGCATATTTAGAATGACAGCGTATAAGCTTCTAGTATGCATTTTAACAAGCGTTTGAGCAGTCAGAAAAATATTAAGCAGTGACTTCTTTGAGATTCAAGTGCACTTATGCCTAAGGTATTTTGTATTAAAAACATGGAGTTTCAAGCGTGTTAATAGATGCATACAACTCCTTATTAAAATACAGGCTGTCTAGTGTTCAGCTTTTAAGCTTACAAAAGGATCCCAGGTAGCTAATAAGAATTTGCAAAGGTATTGTCCCGATACTCTGGAGAGCCACTGTGGTCAATGACCATGCTGGACTGTATGGACAAATGGGCTGATTCATTATATTGCAACTTTATATGAGTTTTGCAGAATTAGAAAACTTTAGCTGGATCCTCTATCACTATCTCCTTTCTGGCAAAGAAGTCGGAGGTGGCCCAATACGATTATTACCCCAGCGGCATAGTATCTGCTGCAGCACTAGGGTGGCCATGTGTCCTTATTTGCAGAGAACAGTCCTCTGTTTGAGGGGCTTTTAACATGCAGCCCTCAAATGTCCAATCCAAGTTCAGTGTAAAGATAAAGAACCCTACAAAGATAGGCTGGCAGGGGCCTTGAGTTGCCCATCAGCTGTAAGCACCTAGACAGTAGACTGATGAGGCACACAGGTAACTTCGTCACAGTTATCTGCTCTATGGGAAGATATTTCTATTTAAATAATAGCAATCATTTCTAAATTTGCACACATTGCATGTGTATTTTTGTGCAAATGTGCACCCTCTTTTCTGTCAATGCACTTTCTCTTTTTAATGTGGTATAAGTGGTTCTCCTGTCTGGTGCAGCTTTTTCCTCCAGGCCATCAAGAACCCTGGGCCCTGGACCACACAAAAGAAGCCCATGCTCCAGCATCATCATCAGCATCATTATTATTACTACTACACGATCTCACATACCACAACATACCGTATTTTTTCGCTCCATAAGACACACTTTTTTCCTTCTAAAAAGTAAGGGGAAATGTCTGTGTGTCTTATGGAGCTAATGTGTGGTCCCTGGAGCCGAATTGCCCGGGGGCAAAAAGCAGATCACGCTCTTTTTTGTAGAAAGAGGGAAGGGAGTGTTGAAGCAAAGCCGCTGATCAGCTGATCAGCAATCCATCGGGAGGGGAGATAAGGGACTCTAGAGATAAAGGAGGCTGCCCGGGGGGGGGGGCGGTAAAGACAGCAAACTTGAAAGGAGAGGAGACAGGAAGATTAAAGCAATGAGGAGAGAAATTAGAAGAAAGGGAGGAGCAAAAAACTGCTCCAGCTAAGGAAAAGACACTAAGGCAAACAAGAGGGAAGGGGGTGTTGAAAAAAAGCCGCTGAGCAGCTGATCGACAAGGGATTGGGATGGAGATAAGGCCTCTAGAGATAAAGGAGGCTCCCTGGGAGGGGGGAGGTAAAAGCACATGGATCCTCAGGATTTTTGCACTGGGTCACCCCAAATTCACCATCAGATCACATAGCATGCCCATGGCTACAGCCTGCATGAAAAAATCACACATCCACTGTTTTGTGGGGCCGCAATGGCACAAAAACGTGGTTACAAAGCACGGATCCACATGGATTCTCAGGCTCTTTGAATTGGGCTACCCCAATCTCCCTGTCAAATCACATATCATGCCTGTGGCCACAGCATGAACCACAAAAATCATACATCCACTGTTTCATTCAGAATATTTTTTCTCTTGTTTTCCTCCTCTAAAAACTAGGTGTGTCTTATGGTCAGGAGTGTCTTATGGAGCAAAAAATAAGGTCTTTCTTTCTGTATTTTATTTCATTTTTGTTAACTGCCTTGCTGAAGGGCGACATGTCAATCTTTAAAATAACTCATATACATAAATGAGAGTGCATCATCTGGAAACTGGGTTAACTGGTTCCTCCAGCCCAATACAGTACTTCTAAAATAATTCAGTAGTCCTGTAAGGACCATTGCAGGCTCTGTTCAACTGGAATAACATAAGTTGCAGCATATATCAGGGGCACCAGCAGAGAATGCCACCTGTTTCACTGGCTGGAGCGTTGGAGTGCTGCTGCCGCTGCAGTGGTAGAGCAGGCTTACAGCATCATTACCCTTGCAGGAAGATCATAGTGACATGCTCTGGCTGCTATGAGTTCTTTCTCTCTTCCATCCCCCCACCCACCTCTCTTCTGGCAGAGAGAGGACTCACGCACAGAAGAAGGCAGAGGGAAGGGGATCAGCTAGCTAAGAGCAAGAAACGGGCAAACACCCAGGAGTTTTTTTTAAAGGCCATGCTATCCTTTCTCCCACCCCCAATCTCTGGCAATACCTGACTGCTTAATGGAACTCTGGGCAGGCATTCCCTTCACTGTAAGGGACCCTACTTCCTCTTTTAGCAGTGTAGCTTGCTGACCTTTCATGCTGTGCAGCCAACATTTTGAGTGACGGAGCCCCACGCAAAAATACATATTTAAATATGTATTTTAAATGTGCATTTAATTATGTATTTAAATTCTTATTTTAAGTACACAGTTAAATGAACACTCTGTTTCAAAATAAGCATCTAAAGACATTATTTTGAGAGATTAAAAACTTCTGAGAACCGATTTGCAACATCTGAAGAAGTGTGCACATTGGTAGATAGCTTAATTCTATGCTTTAGTCTAGGAGGTACGCATCAGGTCATTTGATATATATATATAGGAGTTTCAGAAAACCAAATTCCTCAACCACCCTTAAATCAGATTAGGTTGGATCCTAGAGGGGGATGATTATATGGCTGGTGGAAGACAGCTAACAATTCAGTCCTAAAAATACAGTACTGCTGTAAATAGGTTGATAAAATAACATGCACCCAGTGCTGTGGTTATGCACATTCATGACCTGCTGCATTACACTAGCATCATGAACTGGTTCTGAGTGTTATACCTGACAGCATCAGTAACAGAAGCAGCATCTTACTATAAAACTAAATTCTTGCAAATCACAGATGTGGAATATTATTTAAATAATCCGATGAAACCTTTCTACCAGTTGGGTCTCCTGGAGCAGGAACAGCTGATGGGAGGCTCAGGATCCCAAAGATATTCTGTCCACCACTGGAATCCTCATGTCCTGGTACAGGAATTGAATTACGACTGACGTACAGAATGCAGCCTGGGTGATGACAAACTCTGTGGCTATTGCCAGCACAGGCATTTCAACCCTTGGGTGAATTCTTAACACCCCTGAAGAGAAGGACATTTTTAACCATCTCCTTATTAAAACTAATGATTACCCTGCAACTTGGGTCTGAGACTTGTAAAAGTATTTGGCTTTTAGGTGGGCTGTTGGGCTGACATAGTGTAAAATTAGTCACATACTTACCTTTAGTTTCTGAGATGCAATTAATGCCTCCAGGATTCACCATCCCGTATTTGTATATTGCAAGTAGAACCATAAGTAAATGAAGTGTGTGTGTGTGTGTGTGTAGGCATGGCAAAGACTCTCCTCCCTGAAAGATTAATAATTAATTAATTAATTAATTAATAAGTATATTAATTATTAATTATCATAATAACAGTAGTATGATAATAACTATAATAATTATCATAATAATAATTATCATAATAATATTAAATTAATTATTAATTAATTATCATAATAATAGTAGTAAATTTTAAATTTAGATAATTTGGAGTATATAAATAAATAAATAAATAAAATCAAAATTAGTTTAATTAATTATTGATAACAATAATAAACTATAATAACGAATTAATAAAAAAATAAAAAATAAAACTCAACTCAGACAACTCAAACTACTAAGTAATATGAAGTAGGAAGCATCTTATTTTTAAGAAAAATAAATAGATAAAAAAATGAATAAATAATAATAATAATATTAATATATATAGAGAGAGTAATAAATAACACACGCAAGCACATACTAAAGGGATAAACAATTAAACATTTAACTGAATGCTTGAGAATCATTGTTTATTATAAGTAAAGCAATCGTTAATTAGTATATTTGTTTCAGAATCAATAACACGTCCCTGTACAACCGCTTGTAAGCGGTGGCACGTGTTTGTGGCAGTAGCTTTAGTATGTTATCCATGGCGCCTAAGAGGAAGCGCTCTGCAACGGAATCAGCTCACACCTCAGGCTGCATGGGTGCCAATGGCCGTAATTCATCGGGGGTGCCACATGGACGGGATAATAACCCCAAACCTATTTCACACTGCCTAAATGCATTTAGATCGTTCATTGATGATTATGAGCAGCGTTTTTTCCGATCAATCCCCTATAATGAATAATTATTTCATATCATCGTCAGTTACGGTAGACAATTGATAGTATCAGTAATTAATTCTACTTACGGTGGTAATTGATTGAACAAATAATACTGGATTAGATTTCGATAAATAACAATAATAATAAATAATAATAACAATAAATAGATAAATAAATAATAGATAAATAATAATAGAATGATAACAACAACAATAAGGGGGTATAGCTCAGTGGTAGAGCATTTGACCGCACATCAAGAGGTCCCTGGATCATATCCGGGTGCCCCCTCCACCAGCTCCCTCCTCTCCGCATTCTTCGATTGAATTGACTTATCCGGAATTTTGGTTACGAGGCACTCTTGGCAAAATGTGACGTAGAGTCAGCCTTCTGTCTATTGCCAGTTCATCCCAATGACTCTCATTTG